GCTTTCCAGTTACTTAATTGAACGCCTTTGGCCGAACTGTCTTATATAATACAATCCGTATATAAACGAGAATACACTCATGCATGCGTGCATGAATGTGTCTTCATAAGTATAGGGTAGCGCGCTAAATCGGCACGGCAGAAACATGGGATCCATCCCACGGATCCATTTGCGTATCAGGGAAAAACAAGGTCGCTTTTGGTCTGCCGTTAACTACCTGTCCGTCACCTAGAGACGCACCACATTTCTTGGCAACTACTCAGCACAAAGCCTTATACGAGGGTGGCCCGAAGAATATTCAATACACATAAAACTAACAAATCCACATGTATTACCTATAAATCATTAATCGCAAGCTGAAGCTGATACTAGTGGAGCTTCGCTCATCCTGTCTCATGTCAGAGCTTACTACTGAGCTCGTCGGCTCTACAGACATGAGGAGTATCGCAACCTCCGCATCAACAACTCGCTAATTCTTTAAAATCATTTTTTAGTGGGAGAACGCGGTTACAAATAGTACGTCAATCTATCAACTCACAGATTAACTTTTAAGTAATTAGTGACACTGATTTACTAATAGCTAGACTTCCTAATGGGAATCTCGTATTCCTGCTCAGTTTGGATGACTCAGCTGGAGAAATGAAGCCTCCTCCATAGTTAATAATCCTATACACTGATTCTCCTCCTAACGTCTACCGCCTTATCGTCGTTGGGATGTGTTCCTCGGTGTCAGGCGGCGAAGTACAGCTGGGGATTCGACCTCCGGCAGAAGGAAGGAGTTCAGTGTTTCCACCAGGAAACCTGGCTAAGAGTAAACCTATACCATGATCCACCACGGTCCATGGTATGAAGCTAGTCGCATGGTAGCTGATTTCCCTCTAATCCACATAGCGCAGCGACTACCCGCTGGAGCGACTTCGCAAAGATTGAAGGGATAGGCAGGCACCAAATGCCTAGAATTCCACAATAACAAAACAAATAAAATTGGTGTTGCTTCGAGTCAAACTGCGATGTTAGAAATATAACTTCAACGATGCTGTGATATTTGTAAAACTCCAGACTGCAGGTGTCTGCGGTGGGGAACGAACGCACTATTGTTATTTTCCTAGGAGTACCGCGTTCACCTGCACGCCACGCGGGTCCTTCGTTTCACCTGTCTCTCAGCTAGTTCTGTCGATGTTAGAGTTAGAAGTCATCCCTCAATACGATCACACAACAAGCTGAAGACGAACTACCCCACGGTAAAATTGTCGCTGACTATAGGCAGAAAGGATGCTGTACTAGAATTATAATGTTGTTCAATCCCCTCTCTGAGCGGAGTCTAAAGAGTAGCCTTGGTGAACAACAGTGTTGAGTGGAGTTTCTCGTTGTCCCCTCGAGTGCATGGACTAGATAAGAAGGATAACAGCTGATAAAGGTAGTGCCATAAACTGGGATATGTGCTCCCCAGATCATTCCTGTTGACGCGTGATCGCTAATAGCATCCATAGAGCGAAAAAGTGGCTAAGATAAAGGCAAAGCAACGGCGTTGGTTGGAGTGGTAGATAGCACATGAACCTCCCATAAGGACAACCACGGGTTCAATGCCCAGGTGATGTTCCGAGTCCTGGACCCATGTCAGCATCCTTGATACCGAGATGGATGTACTTTAAACCGAAAAAATTATGGAAATCACAGAAAATCTGAAGCAACCACACATCTTTGAATACTGCTTTTCATTTCAGAGAACATGCTGAGAACGAATACTTGGTTTCTTCAATTCTTCCCGCAGTGCGTTTAACATCCCGAGGAATCCACCCACTAACGGCACCTGTCCATCGGTTGCCATTCATACGCATCACGTACCCGGCCCACCTTATCTTCGACTGTTTGGCGTAGAGAACGGCATCCTTGATTTTTGATCGATGACGCAGGTCGGCGCTTCGGATCCTTTCCCTTGCATGCGTGACACGGGTTACTCCCAGCATCGTCCTTTCAACGGCGCGTTCACTAACGCTGAGTGATCCTTCAACTTGCTTAAGCAAGGACCAGATTTCTGAGGCATACGTTGAGGCAGGAAGTACCGTTGAATCGAAAAGGTGGGCAGGGAGTCAGGTGTTCTTTGTTCTCTTCACTACGTCTATGGTGCTCTTGAAAGCTCCCCAAGTCGCTCGTTTCTTTCTGCTCAACTATGGAGCAATCAACAATTATCAATTAACTATCAATCATCATGTTGATTTCCCAACCAAGAAAGGAGTAACTGGAGCGTTCCGCGAATTCATTCCGTTGAGCGTGAATGGGGCATGCGTAACCAGTTCCTTTCCCATGAACATCGTTCTTCTGAGATTTAGTCGAAGACCAATTTCTCCACAGGCTTTATCAAATTCTGAAAGCATTCGCTCTGCTTGGCTAATGTTTGGTGTTATAGGAACGATGTCATCAGTAAAACTAAGATGGTGTAATTGCCGATCACTGATTTTCACTCCCATATTATCACATTCCAATGTTCGAAAGGTGTTCTTGAGCGTACTTTCACTAATACTTTTGGCGAGATGGTATCGCCTTGCCTAACCCCTCTTTTGAAGTCGATGCTAACGTCGTTGAATGGTGGTGGTATTTTTGTTGTGAAATTTTTATACAACTTACGAAGACACATTATATAGTAAGTAGGGACTCCCTTACTAACCATGAACTCCATGATTGCTCCTATCTCAATTGAGTTGCAACCCTTCTTTAAATCTATGAAAGTGAGACAGTGCGGTCTTTCGTACTCTTATGAGACTTCACTTTTGTTATCGGGTGGACGTGGTCCATCGTACTAAATCCTTTTCGACACCCTCCTTGCTCACATGGCTCTCCTTCTTACAGTGTTCTTTCAACCCTGTTTGTAATGACTTGAGTGAAATGTTCGTAGACGACAGACAGCAAGCAGACTGGGGATAGTTCCTGACATCGTGGAGGTCAGGGATGGCGCGGTGTTCGGAGGCGCTCTGCAACACAGACGTGGAATCGGTCGCTGCGCCCATGGTCCACCAAGCCTTCCATCCCTCCGGGGTCGGAAAATTGGTGCCAGACCTGTCGGGGAGGATAGCAGCACTGGCTCGATACATCGGTAGGCCACTGTGAGTTATTGTAAAGGCCAGATATGCATTCAATCACCTCCAACAATACTTAATAAAGTTGGATGCATGGCGCATCCCTCAGGGATCTATCAACGCTGGAAACGGACCATGCATTCAAATGGTAACGTGCGAACAGCTGAGCCAGTGTTTTCGAGGAAGGACTGGTAAAAGGTTTTTTAGGGGTTCAGATCTTATACTCTCCGGACCTGGTGCTGTTCGATTTTTCACCGACGAAATAAAATGTCGGATTTCGGTAGGGAGAACCGGTGGCACAACATATCCGTCCCCCTTTATTTCTTAGCTTAGAAGTGGTTGTTGAAGTACTGAGTACTGAATACTATTCCCGCATGATTTTCTCCATTACTTTTCTGGAATCTGTAACTATTCTGTATGAGCGAAGGAGTACAACAACCACGGTATTGTTACTGGGAATCTTTTGGTGGTTTTGCGAATGCTGTTTCGAGTCTCTGCAGGTTTGACTATAACTGTTGCTCTTCTCTCATTAAGGTCGCCTTTCACCTCCTGGCTGCATTACTTCGCAGGTTCGAACGTGAGATAGAGCTTGCTGTAGTTCCAGGGATTCCACAATGGCGTATCAAGTGTATACATGACGCTAGAGTGAAGATATTGAATGAGCCAGTCGTTTCCCAACGGACGACTAGTGAATTGAATAAATCCCAGTTTATGGTGGTTTTGGGAATTCGTTTTTTGAATTTATCTGGTTTTTCTCCTTCTAGCGAGAAATAGAATCTTGCACGAAGGAGACGATGTTCTGATCCCGTGTTGAATTTTGGAACAGCAACATCTGGTGGGCAAAACCTTCTATTTCGTTATAGGTCCAATCTTAGCGTTAAAAGCTCATATAATGAGCTTGAAGAATATATGTTTTTCTCTGTAGGATGTCTTTAATTCCATATAGTACGCCTACCTTTTTTTCTTTTTTTTTTACCTTTTCCTCGGCATTGCTTGATGTCGGCGCATAAACTACGAAAATTGTCAGAGTCGATATTGATCTGCATCGCTTTAGCATTCAAGAGGCCGATTCGAGTTGTTAGTTTTTCGAATGAGTCGATTTTCATGGCCCAACTCGTGCAGACAAGAACGCCGAAACCGCCGACTCCCTACTGTCGCATGTTCCTTAACTTTTGTTAGGTAACATCAGGTAACAAGGGTTGTCTATAGAAGACACAGCATCTCTACCTGAAAAAATAATGTCAAAACCAGGTGCACTTTGGCTCTTCACGACGTCTATCTTTTTTGCAAATTAGGCACAAAACACATTGATGGGTACCGTAAACACTGCCATTTAGGAACTCTTTCGCATTTCCCTTGAAAAGTAGCCACTCTATACAAATACATATCAGGGCATCCGTCGCAACACCTTACTAAGACGAACTTCATTCCATTTTTTCTGACGTTACCAGTGTTTCCATTTCAGCCCAGTTCCACAAATATTAAACTTCATTATGATTTGATGCAGACGCTGCGACTACTAACACGATATTGACATCTCATATTATCCACAAAATATGGGAACGCCAATATTTGTCAGTGTACAGAGTGCTAAGAAAAGCGAGCAGCACATCGTAATGAATGTTTACAATGTTTTGTACCACACATTTGATAACAAATTCGTCGAAATTTAACGACTGAGTAACTTTTAATTTCACATGACCAACCTTCTAGCAATGTAACACTCTCTGGATACCTAGTGCCGATTATCGTGATTAAAAGCAACTGGAACGAAAACAAAAAAAGTGATACGCAAGGTTTTAACGTAACAAATGACTTGCAACAAATCCACAGGTCCTCAAATGAACATTAAAGAAGTAGCTTAATGCCAAAGAAAATACCATTCCGTGGAAAAATAAAACGATGGCCACACATTCCACAACAACACTAAATTTCAGAGGCATACTCTTCTGCATTTTCCGTGTCCTTTGTATAATTGTCAACGAAACGACGAAATTTCACAATCAATGCATCTACGCTTATCTCTCCACGAACCTTAAACAGGCCTTCCGAAGACAAAGAAGCACATCATAAAGCCTTTTAAAAGTAAAAGAAAACCGTGTAAAACAACTAACAGCGTTGTCCCTTGTGCGGACATTGACTGTCCCATGATCCATTTCCCTTTGCCCAACCACAAGAATAAAGTTGAATTGAGCCAGTTGTGCGTTACGAATTTGCTTGTTGAGGGTATCAGCACAATGTTCATCGAACTCCACCTGAAATTTAGGCAATGGGCCAGTGAACAAGTTTAGATATTCATACAACTACGAAAATTAATGCATATATATACATATATATATATATATATATATATATATATACCGAGTTTCCTTCTAACGGTTTACCGTCTCATCTTGGCTAGAAGGTGCTCCTGGGTGTCGGACTTAGATGTATTGCGGTTCATTCCTATCGTGGAGGGTTTCCCAAGCTGAGGAATTCGGCGTTTCAACCAGGAAGCCCAGTTAAGAGTAAAGCAGTACCAAGATCAACCACTATCTTGGTATCAAACCAGCTGCATGGTGACAAATCTCCCTTTGAACCACAAGGGCTCCGACTGCCTGTGATGGTGACGAAATGGGGCAATGTTTGGCCAAAAGTGACCTCAGAACTTTAAGAAAACACCATGGCTAATCAGCAAAACTCCGAAAATGGAGAATATGTTAGGGCCGAAACAAATAGTGATAACGGGCCGTCCACGTACTCAAGTAAGTAAGCATATGGTGTTTACACCTGTATAAAATTCTCAAAAGGGTCTCAGTAGCTAAGCACACTGTCTGGCAGACTGTTAAAGAGACGAAGAATAGATGGATAACGCATCATCTCCTAACGATGCGATAAGCATTCGCTTCATTTATTATTTTAGAGATAACCGAATGAAGATCTGGCACATAGAATGACTTTGGAAGTCAATCAATACAGCAAATGAGAATTTTTGTCTTCCCAGACCAGTCGGTTACCAACTTGAGGATCCGATTCAACGCCAACGGATAGAACCAATGACCGTGGGAACATTTCGGGTAACTCTAATCACTCCGGTGCAAAGTGTCTTAGCATACTATAATATGACGAAGTGGTCCACAAACAACGAAAACATTTGGACTACCTCAAAACCAGCGTTGTACAATTTGTCCCTCACAGACCTAGCGTAATGATTTACTGACTCATGAACGGTAATAACCTTGGCCTGAAATCTTGCTCTTTAATTTATCACATAAGCGTCATAAACTGTAGCATACCTGCCGCGGTGATAACCAAAACGGCCATTTTCCACCATAATTCTCCGTTAGTATAGCAGTCATCCTCTCAACAGAACCAAGTATAGCGCGATGAATCATCACAGGTCTTTGCTTATTAAGGTCTCGACTAAATAGCATGGTTACATTCAGAAAAAGATAACCTGATAAGTAGAGTCCTCACTCAAAATAGCACAGGTCGAACCGTAGTGGCAGCTGGAAGTCCAGTTGAATTGTAGCGCACTGATGACTTCGTCTTAATGCATCTTGGATGGTGATATCTATCTGCAGACAGCACAAATAACGATGTTGTCACCTAAGTACCAATGACAAATCTACGTACTTTAGGTCCATAGAACGCTCCATCTCCTTCATTCAAAGACCACGGCCTACCACTTTCGTCTAATGCAGCTTTCAGATCACTTTCAGCTTCGTCCCAAGTCTGAAGCAAAAAAAGATCATAAACTACAAATTCAAATGAAGTGCATAAATCTACTAACCGAAATCTTTCCAAGGAATCCTTCAGGGCGAGTAGACAGATTCAACTTGAAGGTAAACCCAAATACTTCTTCGTAACAGAATGAAAGAAAATCCAAGCAACCCTTCAAATAAAGTGTGAAAAGAGGAATTGAAATATGCAAGAAAACACAGCTAACAATCCTATGAATATTGCTCTTAGTCATGAATGGTAGCATGATAAAATGAGAGAAAGCAACCACTAAAAGTAAAAAAAATGATATGAAACCATTCTGAGAAAAGGAAAGAAAACATCAGCTTTGCATTCAAATAAATAAGCCAATGGAAACGGTGAGACCTTGATTTCGCTGCCAATCTGATCCCTACGACAGAATATGTGAGCATCGTCTTGCTGAAATCGTCGAACACGTGTTAATCCAGAAAGAGCACCAGACATCTCGTTCCTGAAGCGGAGATTTTACAGCAAAGAGTAAAAGAGAACACGCAAACCACCTCAAAAAATGTCTTGTAATCCCGCATAATGCAAAAATTCTATAACGAATAACTGCTCACACTCTCGTTACCAATAAGGCTTTTAATTTACAACTCCTTATACTCTGGCAAATACACTTTGCGTGTGAGTCCCCAATTCACCTATGCAGCACACCAAAATCTGCGTATCGAATTGGCAACTCGTTGTAAGCATGTGGCTGATGACCATACATAAGGCAATGTCCAGGGCAATTCATAGGCTTTAAGCCAAACTGCTCCTTCTCAATTTCGAATCTAAATGAGAAAGCACGAACAATGAACTGTGAACTGCGTCTAGAAATGTTCAATGAGTTCCCAATATAAGAAACCTGAACATGTCTTCGGAGTAGTGTTTCCAATGACCAGACGTCTCCCACAACTGGCTATTGTACATATTGGGTGTGATCACCTTTAAAATTAAATTGCATGTATTCTTCCCTACTAATTTATTTTAAACTCCACTAAGACCATTGAAAAAATGCAGTAATCGCAAATACCTCAGTGAAGCCACGCCTTCTGTATTCCTTCCTAATGAAATTGACCAATGTGTTATAGATATGTGCTCCCTTCGGATACCAGAAAGCGGATCCAGGGGATAGATGATTGAAGAAAAAAAGTTCTTGTTCTCTACCCAGTTTACGGTGGTCACGCCTTGCCGCTTCTGCCTACAAAACATCTGTGAGCAACCAGAAAGCAAAAACTAATCCATAGAACGAGCCTGAATTTTTTGCCAGTCCTTGAGCTGTTGCGCATCTGGAAAAGAAATTCCATAAACTCTCTGCAAGCTCTCAGCGTCAGCCTTCCCCTCCCAGTACGACGACGACGACTTTGTGATTACCATAGCCTCGAAAGCACTGTATAAACGGATATATGTGCACATATACGCATGTATTGCATACGTATATACACGCCCATATAAATATATAAACGTTCATACAACATTTGAACATTTACAATATGCACGCACATAAATAAAAACTGTGACCTGTCCAGCAAGATGCAATGAATGAAGAACTCTGAAACCTTAATCTTCCCTGTATGGCGAACGTGAGGACCTCTACAAAGATCGATAAGAGGGCCACATCGATACACTGTTGCTGTAGGAGTATTAATCTTTTGTTTGATAATACGCACCTGAACTACTTGAGCTCATTCGAAAACTGAACCAACTATGACCACGATCAATTTAAACGTACCTTAAATTCGTTGTACTTAAACATCTCCAAAAGATCCTCTTTCGTCATTTCGAGTCTCTCAAATGGCTGTTTATCCTAAAACATGAGTGGATATCAGGAAAAATGAGTAGAGACCCGTTTGGGAAGCGGAACAACTCTACCTTAATGGCGCACTTCACAATCTCTTCAATCTTCGGAAAATCCTCTTGAGAGACAGTCAGATGCTATAAAACTCCTGTTTAACTACAACAACAGTAGACAATGATGGAGAGTCTCATACACTCACTTCATGCCACATATCGAAGTAGAAGCCTTCCTCTACAGGTGGACCATAGCATAGATGTCCACCACAGTAGCGCTCCATTGCTTCTCCAAGGATGTGTGCTGAGCTGTGCCAGAATACCTTAAAAGAACCTACTGAGCTGAGCTGTGCCACAACACCTTAAAATAATCTAGTCGTTGTAAAGATAACAGAGGAAACCGACGCACTTGCTTAGCATCATCGTCATCAAACTTCAGGAGATGCAGCGTCGAGTCACACTCAAATGGCCGATCCAAATCCCAGACCTGGAGCATTAACTGATGACAATGCAACAGTGCAAGACTTCTCTCTGTTTAAAGACAGTTTCTTACCTCTCCATTTACTTTAGCGATAACAGTGTTCTCGGCCAAACCTTTGGAAATTTTCTCAGCGATTTGTAAAGGTGTTGTACGCCACGATTCAGCGTCGAATTGCTTGCCATCCGGAAGAGTGATTTTGATGGGGTCTGGAACCTGAACATGAACAGAATTCGAAAAATGTTCAATCCTTCAATTAACTAAGGCAATAACTCCTACAGGAAATGATAAAACATGAAGATAAAAAGAATGGTGTTGACAGGTTCTTTTACTAACAACACTTGAGAAAATAAATAAGCGTAGAAGGAACACTCTTACAACACTGGAAGTGAAAGAAATCTCTAAAACCTTGTTGGCCAACTCCAATTTGTATTCTGCCATTAACCTATCCCACATATCAATCCGCTTCTGGATAAAGTCGGGCCATGGTTTCAAATCAGCCGAAGCTATGGAGAAACCAGTCTAAAATAAGTGGTCCTAGAACGAAACAGCTGTCTACGACAACGTGTCAAGTATCACTTACCGGCTTCTGAATCGCAGTGTTCTCTTTCATATCATCAGCAACCATTTCCACCTGAAGTTTCTTCGATGTACAGAATAGTGATGACTGTGACTTTTTGAATGCAGCTAGACGTCTTCCAGCTAAAATCGATGCGACTCGTACTGAGCTCGTCGTGAAATCTAGGAACCCAACGACTCTGGACGAAACGTTCCACGTAAAACGAATGACGTAATAATCAAAGGAAAAAGCGACCTAAAACGGTAATGTGGAAGAAGAAACAACGTTCTAAGGTTGAGAACATCAGCAAAAAAGAAAAGGGCTAACAGCATAAAAATAAGAGAGGTAGAGATGGAAATGCACGTCGATGAATAGATTCTATTGTGCAACCAGTAGTTAGAATGACGCAATAGAAGGACGCATTGGAAGATTTCCACAAAATCCACCACGAACAGGACTAAATCTCAGCGAACTCTGGAGATAACAAGTACGTGTATCGAGGTCACAATATAAATAGAAAGAAGCTAACGAAACGTCTAAAAGTTAATGAAAGCTAATTTTAGATAATTTCTAACTAAACAAAACTAGAAACATGCTGAATACTCCACGTAAAGTAACAGCGATTGAAAACATGAACCAATCACGATTGGAAACAAAACACAATTCGAGCGCGATAGTGTAAAAGCATTCACAAACATCGTTTGAATGTACAACACTAGAAAAATTCTACTACTCTTTTGCCTGTGTTGTTTCTTATTTGTATCATCGTGGTCATCTTTTCAGCCAATGTTGCCCTGATGCAATTTATTGATTAACAGTTTGTTATCGAAATCTATACCTAGCTGAGGTGTCTATGGGATAAGTTTTTTGAGGTTTTATTTTTACATCGGATCAAATGCCAGTAATTTATACTCCGGTAATAGCATATGTTTGAAAATTTGAAAGGCCGTTTTTTTTTTCTAGTGTTTTACAGCTTTTCCTGCTTACTAACTCCCATTTATTCCTATGAGTGTTTCGAATATACAGTTCCTCAATGTTTGGAGTTTATTGAAGCCCTACTGTCTTGTTATTGTTAAATCCTCTTAAGGTTTCCCGTAATGACCTCATATGTTAACGGTTTCGCCGCTTCACTTCGATTTGCCAAAGATTATGCTATGGGCACAGTCGGGTACTTGTTCGCCAGTAAGACTCACAAGTACGTTTTCTTTGTCTAGTTTAGATATCAGAAGAAATAAATAGATTGGTCGAGTACTAAAGAGAAAAGGATGTATTTTGATATGTTTGGTGTTACATCCTGAGCGGGTGCAGCGCAGTGGTCGGAGGCGACCTGCAATACACATCGGATTGATCCCTCCGCACAAGATATACAACCCTTCTTTCCCTCCGGAGTCGACATTTTCTAACAGACCTGTCTGGGAAGATAGCAGCACTGGCTCGATACATCGGTAGTGCACCCCGAGTTATTTCAAAAACCAGTTATGCATTCAGTCAACTCTGACGATGCTCAGTGAAGTTGAATGTATGGCGTACACCTCAAGGAGTGTTCGCCGCCGAGGTCTCTATCCTTTTTATCTCTTGTTGCTGGAGTTATTGTCGTCGACATATGACCTTTTGAGACGGAAACGCTCCATGTCGACAAATTTACGATAACGATCAGGTGCGCTACTCGTCTTTTTCTTGCGCATTCTGTATAAAATGATTCTGTTCTGATATTTCCATATTCAGTGCTCTTTGCTTTCTTAACACATCTTATCCTAGGGCAATGCCTACTCTCACCCCTTTGGATGCTGTGTGTCGTCTTAGTCCTCTGGTTATCAGAGTTTTGGGTCAAAATCCTGGACCTTTTACTCTACAAGGCACAAACACTTATCTTGTTGGAGCGGGAAAAAGGTATATCCTAAAGACAACAGCAGTTAATGTTCTCGTCAAGTGCTCTTCTGATCTTAGGAAAATCCTGATCGACACTGGTGAACCAAATATTCAACAATATATCACTTTGCTGAAGTCTACTCTGGCGGTGATTGTTCTTTTATTACTGTTCTATCCGCAATACTTACTAGACAGAACCTCACTACGTTTTTGTAGTTATATAAAAGACAAAACAAGTTCTAATCTCAAAATTGCTGAGTGGTCTCAGTATTGATAAAAGCACTTGTCTGGGACTATAACGTGATGTATAAGATGTTTGGCTCCCTTTCATTCAATGAATTTCTCATTTCAGTTCTGATCAGTAGCCAATGTAACCACTAGAATTTAATCATTCGCCATTTAGTATCAATCAGTGATTCTAGAAGGAAGAAAGCGAAATCGATTCGATCATCATAACGCACTGGCACAACGATCATGTTGGTGGAATTCAGAATGTTTTGAGAGAAGTGATTGGTCATGAGGTATGTTTACATCTCCTTGTTTTGGTTCACTCTTTAATCTGATATTTCTTGTCAGAGCACTATGCATTTGGTTAGATTGTTGTTTCACAAACATTTTTTAATATGCTTATATTCATTGGTTAAATCGAGTATGCATCGATCGATCTGTGGATAGAGAACCATGAGTTGTACGCTTAGGACCTTGGACGGTTTATTCGATTCCGTATTTTGGCCGTCGGTTGGCGTTGACCGTTTTGCGTATTTGGATTAATATCGCAAGAAGTTTAGAGTCCAGGTGCTAGGTGTTAATTTGAAAATTGGCTGTTATCTCCATCTCTGTTACACTTCTGCGGCACATGACAGCGTTTCTGTTCAGATCTGGTTCTGTTTCGTTGAATTGTCTTTCGCTATGGCCAATGTAAAAGATAAAAGGATGAAACTCTCGGTGTTGATCAATCCCTGAGTGATGGGCCATGCGGTCAGCTTCATTAAGCATCGTTGGAGGTGATTGAATGCATATCTGAGCTTTACAATGACTCGCGGTGGCCTACCGATGTATCGAGGCAGTGCTGCTATCCTCCCAGACAAGTCTGGTACCAATTTGGCGACCCCAGAGGGATGGCGGGCTTGGTGGGCGTTGGGTGTGGGAGTCGATCCCACGTTTACTACAGGGCACCTCCAGCCACTGCACCAAACGCATCTTATGATCAAATTAGATATCTTTATTATTCGGAACCGTCTCAATCGCTTCGCGGTTTTGGCGAAATGTAGGTGTTGGAGGACAGCGGTCGTTTACATCGTTTACATAGCGTTCCATTCCTTCACATTATGGCTTATGCATCACGCTTTTTTAATCAGATGGCTCTGAACTGCTTAATCGACTTTATTTTCTAGCTTTACAACAGTACTCTTTGTTTTTAGATTCTTGGGCTTACACAACGTTGTTAAAGATTTCTATTTCGGCTAACGTTTCGACGTCTTCGTCTTAATCAGAGCCGATGATCCGAGTCGATGGGTCATACTGGAGTACTTTTTGTGTTGGTGTAGAACAAAACGCGTTGGAAGCTTTGCTGTTCTTTGTAAACTATATAACGAACTAATTAGGAGTTCTATTAGAGTGAGTCTACTTGCTCACCACTGTCTTTCTGCATGACATCACTTGAAATTTCATGCAGCTGTGAAATATATGAGGCATTCTCAGTCGGAATATTTCATTGTCCTCTACTTGTGGTTTTAGAACATTGAGCGTGTTCTACTTATGAGAAATGTTCTCAGAAGAATAGAATTATAGTTAATGATGCTTCTTCATAAGCGTTTGTTTTCGTGAAATAGAAAGATAGATTTAGTAAAATAACGAATTGTAATTGAGGTGACGATTACCAGAAGAAAAACATTTTTTGGATTTTCAAGATTAAGAAATGATGGAGGTGGACGCGTGTGTGGCGCAGTGGTTGAGGGCGCCCTGCAACACGCGGAGTTGATCCCAGCGCCCACAGCCCACTAAGCTTTCCATCCTCCCGGGGTTAGCAAATTGGTACCAGATCTGTCTGGAGGAATAGCAGTGCTGGCTCGATACATCGGTAGGCCACTGCGAGTTATCGTAAAGGCCAGATATGCATCCAGTCGCCTCCAAACGATGCTTAAAGAAGTCGAATGCATGGCGCTTCTCTGATAGATTGATTAACGCCGAGAGCTTTATCCTTTTATTTTTAAGAAGAAATGACTGGATCGACAAACTCCTCCGAAGAATGTCCTATATTGTACGTGTTGTTTTGCTGTCTGCATGCTCGAGTATCGGAGTTGATGAGTTCTTACCTAACATAGTAGAGTGTTTTATTGATGATTAGGTTTCTCATCTGTTCAACCCTGGACGTCTTGCACGCTGTATCAACTTTACTACCGTCCTAATGGTAGAACAGGGTGTTCAAACGGTCATATGTGTTGCATTTTGTAGTCTTGGTTTGTCTGGTGCATGCAATATTGGCAACTATTATTGCATCTACATAGCGTTTGTTACTCCGGTCATGCAGCTGTAGTACTCTAGGCAATTTCATTCTATTTAATCGGTGTTTAACAGGTACGGGTGGTTAAAAATCTAGTAAAATTCTTTTTGACCTGATGAATTGGTCCTGCCGAAAACGTTTAGTTCTTTTTCATATTTGGATAGGATTTTTTAGCATTTCTACTTAGGTTCCAATTTACAAAATTCAACGTGGAACTGGTGAAGATCCCTCACATTTCCATTACGTACAGGATGGTCATGAGGTCCGCGTTGATGGTGCAACATTAAGGTATCCCGAGTTCTTTTTTTAAGCAGTGTTTTAAATATTTCATATGTAACTCATAGCTAAAGATACTTTGGTATATTGTCACTTTTAAACGCATAGGCATACCATCATGATTGACCGTGCCATTTCGGCAACAAAATAGTTATTGCTCACTGGTACTGAGTTGGTTGAAAAATATTGGTGGATTTTGAAGGGGAACTATTGCAGTGTTATAAATGGGTTCAGATTGAGCTTGATTGTTTGAAATGTGAAATCCAGATGTTCTAGAAGAGGCGAATTTTCAAAGGTTTTTTTGGGAGGAGGAAGACACTTTGGTTATTGAAAATTTTACTCGGAAATAATCAGCGAGGTTCGTGATTACGGAGGAAGTATCGTAGTTTCCAAGTTCATTTCGTTCAGTTTCTCCAATGTTAGTTAAACAAAGTGTGCTCACTCAAGTGTTTCCATTTTTGAGCATTGCACCGTTTTGTTGACTAATATTGGATGCATTCACTGGATTTTTTGGTGTGTTTAATTAATTCCATTACGGCAGTTCTGTAATATGATCGTTTCACCTTGTTTTTTCTTTTTTAAGGGGGTTACTGTGGATTAGTCAGTGCGTAGAGTCAACATATCTTTTTCTCCATTCATTAGGCACGATAAACGTCATAGACTCGTATGAAAACCACTTTTTGGGTTTTTCACGTTTTTAGCCCTTCGGAATGACGAGCGTTTGTTGAATGGTCAACGCTGAATTTCTCTATGTCCCCAAAGTAGTTTCTGGACATTCAGCATAGCTTATCGGATTTAAAGAGTTGTCGTCAACTGCTTATGGGTTCCGGCAACTTTCTTAGTTGTGACTGCTTGTTCTGTCATCAGTCTCTGACTTTCTCACTCCTTTCTTTAAGTACGTTTTTAGTTTCTTCCCTTCTGTGCTCAAATTTGAAACTATGGTGCAAGGCAGGACAACTTTTCTTGCGTGGTTTGAGCCACTTGGAAAACTTTGTAAATAAGTGTTTAAAAAGTATACAGCAAGTGGTTAGGCAACAGTGAGTTTTTGGTGAAAGCGGTTTACAACAGGTTCACCATTATTTTTTCCTACTCAATAGTTGCCTTTATTCATTCGAAAGTTTCTTCCAATGTTGATACTAACCCGTGTGCTTGACGGTTTAATGGTGGACAGAGTCAGATTTAAAGAAAAAAAAAAAAACAAATGAGGACGGAGTGAACTAAGAGGAGAGCCACTGAAAAGAAGGTTGAATGTTTTATTGAAATAAAACCAGTACCCATTCGTGACTTGGTTTCTCTAAGCCAAATATTTTAGGTATATTTTAAGAGTTCGAACAGGTTAGTATTATCTTTCGAAAATTGATATAAACAGCATTCATCGCGAGTTTCACTACTTATGGAATCGTTTATCGCATGGAAATACCGTTGAAAACAATATACACAGTACTCATGTATTGAGTAGAAATGCAGTTTAAGTGGAAGTTTGTTCAATTCTGTTTAAGGTTTGCGAAGACTCCTGGCCATACATGCGACCACGCCTCTTTGTGGCTAGAAGAGGAGCAGACGTTGTTCAGGTTATTTGGTTGCAATAAGGTGTTATCTTATCATTTTATTATGCAGTAGAAGCTGCTATTTTAGTGGCGATTGCATACTTGGAGAGGGTACCACGGTGTTTGAAGACCTTCATGACTACATGAAGAGCCTGGAAAAAATCAAGGTTTTGCATCCAAATAGAATATATCCAGGTCAGTGAAGATAACCACAGTTGGACATATTTTCTTATTACATGAATCGGACACGTTTCCACTGCAGCTTCTACTTTTATTTTAGGAATGTTGAATTTTATGTTTATTTCGTAATATTGTGGGAGAACTTGAAACATACAGATTATATGACTTCTGTCAAAACCTTTGAAAAAATTTTATATTTTTAAATTGCGGTGCTGAATATGCGTTGACCTTCTACGTTCATAACGCAGAATAACTTTTCCTTCATCTTCCTCATACTCTCGACAGTTATTAGAGGTGACTCACTGTCAAAACTCAAATTGGGTTCTGTTTATTAAGGGCACGGTCCAGTAGTGGAAAAATGTGTTGAAAAAGTGGACGAATATATCGCACATCGTATGAAACGAGAGGAAGAAATTGTCGCCGCTCTACAACAATTTGGTGAAGCAACTAGTATGGATATTACAATTGCAGTTTATTCCGTAAGTGAGAGCTTTTCCGTTTTTCTTTATTATCATCTCCTTCTTCCCAATGGTCTACCGCCTGATCGTAGTTGGGAGGTGTTCCTGGGAGTCGGACTGCGATGTACAGTGAGGAATTCATCCCCCAGCAGGGTCTCTCAAGTTGACAAAGAGCCCGACGTTTCCACCAGGAAACCCAACTTAAGAGTAAACCAAGACCAGGATCCACCACCGTCTGGTATCAAATTATTCGCATGGTGGCAAATCTCCCTCTGGTTTACATGGGCGGCGAATGTCTGGGGTAGTGACGACCTGTGGCAGACATTGGCCGTGCTGACCTCGGGAATCCAGGGAGTCATAATGGCTAAGCCGGCAAAATTCCGAAAAAATGGCAATTTTGTTGGGGCCCGCACAATCAGTAAAGACGGCCCATTCAAGTATTAGGTATCATCTCATTAACTATCGCAATTTACGCGGTTGAATCAATCTTTTCTTGAACTAATGTTAACACCTCCAAATATTTACTTTAAATCATATTTGTTCGTGAAAAAATGTGATGAAATGAAATATTCTGAGGTAGATCATGTTATTTGCTTCTCAACTTTTGCTTTATATGTGTATTTGTCAAATGCGATTTTTTCAGGGCACTCCACTTTCCGTACGCTTGGCCGCTCTGAATAATGTCAAGTTGCATCTGAATAAATTAGAAAAGGAAAGGCGAGTAGAGATAGCACCTTCTGGAATGTACTGCCTAACCCGCCAGTAACGTTCCATTAACGTTTCACTTGTTAACACATAGCAGACAGTGCTTTTTTTTTGAAAAATATAGAGATCTGCTCAACTACTGTGCTTATCGAATAAAGGTAGATTACAATTCTACCGATAATTCTTCGACAAGCGGCGTAGTCGAAGAGTTCAAGACCCGACAGTCCACTAGGAGAGGTTCTTTCCGTCGTATATGCATACCAGCCAATTCACATGTTTCTTTATGTTTTAAAAACATTAGAACATATGCACCTTCAAATATCTTTTTGAAAAATCAAAAAATACTTCATTATTTTATTGCTCATTGTTAGTGTTGAAAATATATGTGACGTTTGTTTTTCAGTCTATCAAAATTTGCAATACTTAACCGTATCAGATGTGTTTTAACCCATTGGTTCCGGCAGGAGTCTTATGTGACACGTGTTTTACTATCTGTCGTTCTATTTACACTTTATTTTTCATATTGAACTTTTTGTACCGATTCGATAATTCATTGCAGATATTGTGCGTCCCGTAGGCCATAAACTGTCTCATTATACACGAAGTATTGTACAAAAGATCGTTTTTCAGATAACTCTGTCTCTTCACTACCCGAGATACATGAATCATTAGAAGGAAAACACTTTGTGGGCTCGTTAGAATTCGTCATAGTAGGATGGAAAAAGAGCTTGTATCTTTTTGGTAGAACTCATTGATGACGCCACAATGCAATGTCACGGGAAGCCATCGTTGTAACAGCAAAAGCGTGAATAGTCAGTGTTTCGAAAGTTTCTTTGACTGATGACGCTGGCGCCTACCAACGGTTTCCCGCCTCATCGTGACTAGGAGGTGTTCCTGGGTGTCGGGCTGCGACGTACAGCTGGTGATTCACCCTCCCGGCATGGTTTCTCAGACAGAAGTAGTCCGGGGTTTGCATCAGGAAGCGCAGCTAAGAGTAAATCAATATCAGGTTCCACTGCCCTCCTTGTATGAAACTGGTCGCATGGTGGCAAATCTCCCTGTGATCCACAAAGGCGGCGACAACCTGTGGTGGTGACAATCTGGGGCAGGCTTTGGCCAAGCTGACCTCGAGGCTCCAGGTAACCACAAAGGCTAAACCAGCAAAGGTTCAAAAAATGAAGATTTTGCTGGGACCCGCACAACGAGTGAGGATGGGGACCATTCAACTATCCCAGTGTGACGCTGTTTATATTCCTTCTGTAATGGACGGAGTCTTGCCAGTGAAAACCGGACTTAAAGCTCGAAGGGAAGCTCTAGAATAATTCTGATCTTGTATAATTTTATAAAGCTGTTTCAATGCATGATGCTGTAGTTGCGGGGATCACGTTGCATAACGCGGTATACAGAGAGCTTCGTTCATGTAAAAGGTCCATTTGATAGCTATAGCATAACTTGTACAGAGGTTCATCAAACCTAGACAGTGTAGTTCACCCAGAAAGTTGATCATATAACGGCAGAGAGCTTATACCAAAAAAGATGGTCAGGCGTTACAACCGAAGACGGTAAGAGCGAGTGAGTGAGAAGCGATGGGAAATGCAGGATGTGTTAGCTATTCATGAGAATAGTTGCTGTACTCCGTACTGCGACTTAGGAGAATGGCATGGAATGTGTTCAAGTAGAATGAGTGCCTATATAAGAGAATAATTGGAAAAGTTATGACCACAAAACGGCTGATGGTCATCTTCGTAAGCCGGGGAGGTGTAGAGAATACGCCGAAGAATGCAGAGAAAAAAAACGGCTCCGCATTCTTCAGGATATTCTTTACACCTGCCCCAGCTTACGAAGATGGTCAACACCTATCTCGTGGTTATCTATGTATTGAAGGCGATGCTAGCAGTTTGCTTCGTCGCATTGAAGTACATATCTTAAACCTTTGAAGAGCCAGAGAGCTACTGCATTTCTAAGCTGCGGACTGAAGGCAATATAAAGTGTCGACGGCGCGTCAAGCAAGGCTAAGTCTTTCTTGAACATTTTCAACTAGAGTTGAGGAACTAGATGAGTGAGTAAAAGCAGGATTAATTGTAGTTCGAAAAGGTGAGCATGAAGCCAATTGTTCCTAGTTTGCTTCATCGTATTCTCAGTGCTATTTAGTAATCTTATTGCTTCCTCCTGTGTCATTTTCGAGCTAAATTGTCTATCAATTTGTACCCACCAATCTTGGTGGTTCCAGCTGGACCGTTCGGAAATGTTGGCTCCATTGAAGGAAAATGAGGAATAGGAAACGAATCAATTCCTCTGGAGGCACGATTTCTGGAAGTACAATCGAACACCAACTTTCCCATAAGTGATGTCGAAATCGACCAGCTTCTAATCCTGGTTGATTAATGTCGCAGTACAACCAACAAAGCAAGTTCGTTTATCTGTTAGCCGTTCATTTTTTCGGCCATGTTGTCCCATTCTAGTGTCCACATGAAGTTTTTTCGAGTAATCGCAAATAATAGTGTTCGCAAGATTCTCTCGTCCTTTCGAGCTGTTTTCTTTGAGCCAATGGGTAAAACCGATTCTGCCTAGCTGCTCGTGAAGTATTCCGCCTTCTAAGCAATATGACCCCGGTTATTCATACATTCCACAGTCACTTCATTCTCATATGTTTTGAACAGTTTTTAAAGGGTGAAAGTCAGATAAAGTGACATCTTGTACTCTTGCGTTATCTGTATAAATGTACATAAATGTACAATATATATGAATATAAATCTGTTTTAGAGACATAACTTCGCCGCTCACTGTACAACGAGCAAATTGTTGGACCTAGCCTACCTGATTAGTTGCGATCTCTACAGCATTTTCCACTGACGAAAGAAGATTCCAGAGATAGTTCCTCCATCCAATCGAAGGATATGTCTGCTTCAGGCTGTCTAATTTGTATGGGTTGTATTGCTGTCGATAATTTCTTAATAAGGGGTGTGTTCAGTGCTACATTACCATAGTTTATCTCTAGAAAAAGGAATATGGGGGGTCAGAAATCCTTCAAACCTCATTTCTTGTTTGGGCCATGACGCCATAGCAATCATAGCCTCAAAGTTAGTTACGTCTTGAGAATCCTGAAATGAATACATTTTGGATAACACTTTTTCATCGCTATTTCTTCTAGTTGAGTAAATATCATAGCCGTTGGAAGCTCGTTTTCACTGCGAGTGCTCAATAAAATTAAAATCAAGCAGTGTGAAAAGATGACAAGATGTTCAGAGGCCTTTGCCTTTTGATTTCCAACCATTTGTTATAAAACTCTTCTCCAAAATATAAAATATATATATGCTGTATGTATGTGTATATATGCATGCACACAAAATATATGTGCTAAACAAATATTCGAGTTAATGGTGTGATGGTGAAAGTGTTAGCCCCGAAAGGGTAATAGCGTGTTGGCTCTACCGCAGGCACTTGCAGCCCGGAGTTTAGCAAATATCTCAGCATCATTGTAATTATATTCCACAACAAACCCTGCAATATCACAAAATGTCACAAAAACGACGTTCATGAAGAATGGATTGGTTTCGTACGTCCCACTCACGCTCAACAGAACGAATATCTCCGAATGCTCAAGTTATGCCTATCTAGGTCGGGAAATCAATATGATGAACGACTTAACTCCAGGGCTGAGCAAAAGGAAACGAGCGGCCTGGGGAGCTTTCAAGGTTTCGAGGATGTTGTAAGGAAGACAAAGAACACCCGCGCCCACCTTTTCGACTCAACGGTACTTCCTGCCCTAACGTATGCATCAGAAACCTGGTCGCTGTGTAAGCAGTATGAAAGCTCACGCAGCGTTATTGAACGCGCAGTCGAAAGGACGATGGTAGGAGCATCCCGTTTCACACAAGTATGTGATGGAATCCGAAGCTCCGACCTGCGTGAGCGGTCATGAATCAAACATGCCGTTCTGTGCCCAAACAGTTGAAGATAAGGTGGGCCGGACACGTAATGCGTATGAGTGACAACCGTTGGACAGGAGCCGTTAGTGACTGGATTCTTCGGGATGTCAAACGTACTGCAGGAAGACCACGGAGCCGATGGTCAGAGATCTTCACCGAGGACCTAGAAGAAAGACATGATGCTCGACGAGTCCCTAGAGCGGGCTGAATACACTGGGCTACTCTTACACGCGACAGGGAAAAATGGAAGGTTTACTGGCGCCAGCACGAGTCACTCGACGATCAACGGGTCTACAGGTGATACAGGTGATACCCTTCAAAATTTAATGACTTAAGCAGAATACACATCTGCTCTGTACATCTCATCTTATTTTTTTTGAAGGAATATTCGACATAATACGACTGAATATTTCAAAAAACCAGGATAGATCATGGAAAAATTTAAACCTGAGAGACATATAATGCATCCTGTGATACATTCATATAGTCGACCGATACCCACGATGCCATTAATATTCCAAGTGCATGTGCCCTTTCAAGAGTACCTGCTGTACCAAAGATCTCAATGTTTCTTTTTAGTGTTTGATTCAAGAATGGCACCCGCAAACCTGAAATGTTCTATCAAATATTTGAAGCAATCTAGTTAAGCTTGGCTAATAGGGGTGTCCGTTCTAGCAGTTTGCAATGCTATCAAAGACTCGTGCAGAAACGTCCAAGTGACGCAAATGTTTCCTACTGACCACGCAAGCATCAACAGCCTAAAATACGAGAGTTAGCAAATGCTTTATTTCTGTTTTGAAAACATAAAATGCATTATTCACAAAAGTTCAAAGACAATTGAATCACTAGAATGGAATAAATGTTTTCGAAGGAACTCATCGCTTCGGTGATTCTCTCAGTTGCTGACCACATTTTATTGTCGTTAACGTCAACGTTTACAACAGCTGCTTACCTGCTTGTTAACGTCCACCTGCACTTGGTCGTGTGTTCCCAGGCGAGCCAGTCCGAGCGCGGGAAACTTCCTACCCCTCCTTTCGCAGTTTATCTCAGATTCATACACTGTTTTTGAATGCTCAATCATCTCCAGTCATTTCACATGTTATGGAAACCTAAGTCATTTTTTTTACCATTT